TGAGGATCTCTGCTCCCTGCACAACCTTGTAATGTCAAGGAGCCAAACATTAAATGAAAAGCAAAGAAGTTTCCTACGTGAGATATCAAGTGATACAATATTTTACTGCTCCTACCTCTTCCTTCTGGGAGCTCTGGTGGCGTAGTGCCTAAGGCAATTGACTGCTCGCCAGAAGGCTGGCAGTTCAAACCCACCAGCCACTCCTCGGAAGGAAGGTTGGGCAATCTACTTCTGTAGTGACACTGCCTCGAAAACCCAAGGAGGGGTCGCTATGAGTCGGGTCTGACTCCATGGCACATGACAACAACAATCTCTTCCTTCTTTCACCTGCCACTTCTCCACCCACTGATTCAGTAGCCTTAACACCTGGGTGTCTAGTTCTCTAATGTTCTTCCCCAAGAAAGAAAACATAAGAGAAACTTAGTGTGACTTACGGTGTTATCCCTTCCAGGAAGGATTTGTAAATTTTAGAATGGGTCAAGTGAAAAGACAAAATCTAACCTAAAGGAACCACTTTTATAGTGGTGCAATTGCAGGCATCCCATAAGGCATCTACCAGGTGCTCCTCGCATAGTACATGAAGGCATCTGACTACTCCGTCTCGGTCAACGTGGGGCACTGACTAGAAGTATGAGGAAGAGAGGAGTGACATGGAACTGTTGGCTCACCAATCACTCATTTCAATGCACAGAATGTTGTCTATAGAAAAATCCATGGTGCAGAGCAGGCTAGTCCAGGCCAGCAACGCTGTTCACCAACTAGACGGCACATAACAACAGCAACAACAACCCAGGGGAACAGGGAAGAGGTTTGAGGAAGTGAGAAGGGATCAGCCCTAGAAAGAACAATAAATTTTAATGAGCTCTAATCTGAAATTTCTCTATACCACTCTGAAGACCGGTTTGGAGCAGAGACAACTTGGGCAGGTGAGGGACAGAAAAGCAAGGAGACAAGAGACTCAAGGAACATGGTGAGTGAGCAACCAGAGCAGGAAAACAGAGGCTTGGCTGGGAGAAAGGTGACGCAGAAGGGAGCTCATAGACTGGGTTGAGCTTGATGGCCAAGGCAACAGACCTTCTGGAAGCCCAAGTGCAACGGAAGTAAGAACATGAACGATGTGAAAGACAGGAAGCCACAGTCAGATGGTGGCACCGGACAACGTTAGTGTCCAGAAGTGGATTGGTTTTAGGTTGCAACAAGGCCTGCAGTGCAGCACTGTGGGCCACACTCAAATGGAGAGGAGCTGAGGGTCGCATCAGTTGAGACAGAGATGGAGGCTACAGAGAGTTTGTAGAGATAAGAGGTGGGTAATGTGGAAAGATGGAGCACTGGGTGTAGAAAGAAGACCTGTGCATCTGTTCCAAAGAATTTGCAGAATGTGGTGGTGACAGGCCAAGGGATAACAGCAACAGGGAGATGGGAGGGATTGAGGTTGAGCAGGGCCCCGTGGGGCTCCAGAGCCCAGTTGCCCACCATGGCCAGAGGGCACAGCCAGTGGCATCACTGGCAGAGTGTGGGGCTCCAACTTCACCAGGTGACACTGTCAGAGAGGGTGACACCAAAATAGCTGTCTATAAAATTTTTGTGCAGTGTTTTAGGAGAAATTTATTATTTTTTATAAAAATATCCCTGTAGTTAGTTATAACAACCAAAACATGTTTTGTAAGCCCAGCTTACATTTAAAAAGAAAAACAAAAAAGCTGCCATTCACCTTTTGAACTTTCTTATTTATTCTGGTCAGAGCTGTCATTATCACCCAATTACAATGACACTTCAAATCACGTGGTTTCACCTGTACCACTACAAGCATGCACTGTTTTTGTTGCTGCCAGTGTTTCTAGTCATTGATTTTGTCAAATTTTCTGGTGTTTTAGCTACAACATTGTGGTAAGTAGTATTTGTGAACCTATATCAATAACTTTTTTGAAAATAAAGTAGTAATTAAAGGAAAAGAAGGCAAAAAATCAAAAAAGATTTCTGCTCAGTTGCTAATAATGTTGTAATTCAGTGTAGAAAGATTTTAAATAATTTTGTTGCTAGTATTTATATAATCTAAGAAATATTACATTTAAGCATTTACATCTATACCACATACTATTCTATGATTAAAATTGATAATAAACGTTACTAAGGATTCTGCATGGTTTCGTACAGGAGGAGTGGAAGGGGACAGGCGGGTGGGGTGATATACCCTGAGTTACTGGTTAACAGCAACCCTAGTGACACCACAGAGCACAGTGAGTAGACTTACTCTCCCCCGGTGCTGTGTGCCTTTCCTGATGCCCGACCTCTGCCTGAACCCCCTTTCTTCCTCCTTAGTCTCTGGAATCCCATGTGCCTTCAAGCAACCCAAAGGCCACCTTCCTGAGCCATTCCTTTTAACTACCCATAATGTGATCTGGCCTTCCTCTTCACTGCCACACAACTTTGCTGATAACACTCTCTCAACATGAATCTGTGTCCAGCTCACTGTTGGGGTTTCCTCCAGGTGTGTCTCCCATTGTGGAGGACAGGGCTTCCACCTGGTCATCTTCGCCTTGGTCAAAAGAACGTTACAAACCCTTCCCCTACACTGAAGACAAGCATTATATCTGAACTCCCCATTCCCAGAGAATTCTCAGAAATATCACCCAGTAATCCTACGATGATTTAGGTGAATTATCTCCATGCCCAATCCAGTCTTCCTTGTGCATTTACTTAAATCTTCTTGCTTTCATTTCAAGCTTATAGTTAACCTGAACATGCTTTTACGGGGAAACGAGAGAGAAATTTGTCTTAACAATATTGCCCAACTCTGAATCCAAACTCTTTACAAGGCATTACTTTTTAAAAGGTTAGAAGAATTTTATGTTCCTATCACATTCTATTTCCCCACTTTTTCTGCAGAAGGGCAACAAACAGGGCTGCCCAAGAGTTCCACATATTTTCCTCGGGTGGCAGTTTCTTGTGTGCCATAGTCTTTAGATCCCTCTCTAAGATCAAGATTTCCTTGGTCTTGATCCCTTTTCACTGACACAGAGGTTAGGGTAACATTGAGCAAGATGCTGGTAAACACAAGAGAGTCGCTCTGATCCCATTATTGATTGTGTTCTTTACCAGCAAATATGCTCTGTTTTCAGAAACAAGACCCTCCTAAGTGATCTCCCCGCACCCCATCTGGGTTCGGGAAGGCAAGATGCCTTAGTTCTGAATCAGATGTCATCATCATTTGAAAGCCTCTTGGCTCCCAACTTGATTGGCCGTGGGGGCCAGGACCGGCTGGAGGGACTCACACATACCCCCTCGCCCCAGCTACGCTGCCTCATGGATACAGCCACTTGTTTCTCTGCAGGAAGGAAGAAGGTTAGAGAAAACCAGGCAGCATCAGAGGACCGTTTCCTCACTGCTCCCTTGACCCTTTGAAAGACAAAGAGTTCAGATAAATACCTATGGGCTTATTTATGGGCTTGAACATTGTACTGCCCAAAGAGCCACATGAGACATCACCATAATGTGGGACTTCTAGAAGGGACAGGAGGAAAACAAACATAGCAATGTAATCTATAGGCCAAGCCAGGCTTCGGTGGGAAAACCCAGGTCATGAGTCTGAAGATGCAGGCATGTGTCACGGCTAGCGAGTTGGCCGAGACACCCTCAGCAAGTGTGAGTGCTGTGTTGAGGACCGTTTGCTGTGCAAATGTCTGTCTTGAGGAAAACGTGCAGAGCCCCTCCACGATAGGGCCACTTCATTGCCCTATGCCACTGAGTCTCCTTCCTTGAATGATGCAAAGAAACGCTTCAGGAGGAGGAGGCATGGATAGACCTTCACCTGGCTACAGGTGGAACATTGAGGCTATAAAGAACTCACCCCCTGATGGGGTGAACTTGTGAATTCAGTTCCACTTATGAAAATGTATATACAAAGAGTGCAAAAAGGCAGACTTCCATCACATCTGGTGGTGTTCTCACCAACTGGAGGAGCCAAGAGAAGCACCTCCATCAGTGGCCAAGTGGTTGCCCTGTATTCCTGAGCTTGTGTCCTAAGACGGGACTGGCTAGATGTCCTAGCATCTGCATATGTGTTCATAGTGGTGCTAGGCACGGAAAGCTTTCATGCTGCAGGCAAAGAGGGGCCTATTTACATTCACATTTAGCCTTGAAGAACATATAATGTTTACACATGATGAGTAGTGTGTAGGTTAGTGTCTGTCTGTGCTTTACAAGACAGAAGTGCACATTTCATCTTCCATTTAAAGAGTGAGGAGGAACTAATGCTTACTGAACACAGAGGAAGTGGCTGGTGTTCTGTACACCTTATCCTCAGTTCACCCTCATAGCGACCCTGGGAGGTAAGTACATGATTGTGACCATTTGATAAGTGAGGGGATGAGACTCCCAGAGGCTAAATCACTTGCCTGAGGTCACACAGGTAGTAAATGACAGAGTCAGTCTGATCCCAAAACCTTTGTCTCTTTCCACTACATTGTTTGGTCTCCCCAAGTTCCCACCTTTTTTTTTTTACCCTTTGGCCTCTTCCTCTGAACATCTTCAAATCTCCCTGCTAGTTTCTACAGTCCATGGAATATGCTTCCAGGATAGCTGAGGAGGAATTGAGTTATTTGATAGGTACAGGAAGGAGGTCTGATATATATCTATGCATTTCCAGAAGATACAGTGCAAGAGAACAATCTCATCGTTAATTAGTATCTCATGTACATGGAGTGGGTGTCCTTCTGTCTGATACTTAAACTAGTAAACCTGTTGCCATCAATTCACTGCTGACTCACGGTGACCGATGTGTGTCAGAATAGAGGCATGCTCCATAGTGTTTCCAATGGTTGGTGTTTTGGAAGTAGATCACCAAGACACCCCTGGGTGGACTCAAATCTCCAGGCTTTCAGTTAGCAGTCGGACACATTAACTGTTTGCACCCCCCAAGGATTCAGTTTTGTATTTAAGAGAGCACAAACTGAAAATTGTCTTCATGTCCCTGTTTTGTCCATGATATCTCTCCAGAGCCTTCAGACAACAGTCTCAATGGTGATGGCATTGCCACTGTCTTCTGGACGCCTTGGTTGCATTTCATCTTTGAAAGCCCGGGTGAGAACCACTTTTAAGGACTCCTTGAACCGCTTCTTCTTACTGCTGCCCACAAAGAAGTAAATGAAAGGGTTGGCGCTGCTATTGATGGTGGAGAAGAGAAGCGAAATGTGGTGCAGGTTCCCAAATGTTGACCAATACTCATAGTAGAGCAGGTAAAGGAGCCTCATGGGCATGGCAAAAATGAGGAAAATGATGATGGTGACTGTGATGACCAGGTACAGCTTCGAGGAGTGGGAGGCCCGTGCGTTCTTTCGGATCTTAACTACCAAGATGGCGCTGGAAACCACCATGAGTGGAGTGAAGACCAGGAAGCTCAGGATGGCGATGAAGATGATCACTGCTCTACAGTCACTTCGAGGATGGCCCTGTCCTCCACTGTCGATACATATGACATATTCCATGGTGGTCACTAAGCAAGAAAGTGCCCACAGAAGGGCACAGACAAATGCTGACTGGTGCTTGGGACGGTGGCACCGGTACCAGATGGGGTACAGGACCGACAGGCACCTCTCCACACTTATGGCTGTCAGCAGATAGAGGCCTGTGTTGTAGCCAAACAAAAAAGTCACTGATAAAGTGACGATTGTGTAGTAATAACCAGAAGATAGCTCATAGTCAAGAGCATAGTCAACAGACAGAATAAAAATACAAAAGAGCAATGAGATGTCTGCAACAGACAAGTGGGTGATGTAGACTGTGAAGGGGTTTCTTCTCATCCGAAAGCAGAGGAACCAGAGTAGAAGTCCATTCTCCACAAACCCCAGTGGGGAGATGCTCAGGATGACCCAGTGCACAACAGGGATTTCCCGGTGGGAAGGCTTTGCAGAGGCGTTCCATCTGATGGAGGCATTCACAGGCTCCTGAGCAACAAATGAGCTTCCGTTGGAGTCAGCCATGAGGGGCACAGCCTGGGCTCTTCAGGCAATTTTCTATAAGTAAGAAAAAGAAACATATCAAGATCATGAAAATTGGTGAATTGGAATAAAGGGGTGAATTTCAGTTATAGATCATACCCTTTATATTATTTTTTTAAAATTAATAGACTATATTATTCGCTTTCTAACAATGACAAAATTTGACATTTTGGCAAGTGAGAGAACTGATTTTTATTCTCAAATGAGAAAACCCATTACCATCAACTCAGTTCTGACACATAGCAACCCTAGAGGACACACTAGAGCTGCCCCATGAGGTTTCTAAGGTTGTAAATCTTGACAGGAGCAGACTGCCTCATCTTTCTCCTGTGGAGCATCTGGTGGGCTGAACAGCTTGGTTAGCAGCCAAGTGCTTGAACTACTGGACTGCCAGGGCTCCTGTTTGATCCTCAAGAGCTCTTCATTTTGTATTATCATCTGCTTTGGGTTTAGTGCCCGAGAGGATATGGCAGGGTAAGAAGGTTCAAATTCCTGATGTCCATTCCCGGCTCTGCCCGCGCTGTCTCCAAGACTTTGGAAATTCATTCCTTCTTCTGTGAGTCCACTTCTTGCCTGAGAGGCCCAGTTAATTCCAATGGGATGCAATGAAAATTCCATGTCTGGCAATGTTGCCGTCAACACTGTTTTACTCCATTGAGTGCCATAAGAAATGGGTGAACGAGAGGACGAGCCTAGTGCAATTGTGCTTAGCAGTGCATTGGTACCTTTAAAGTGTGAACAGTTAAAAGGTGATTCTTGTGTATGGTCTCTTGTATATGACAAAATTTGACATTTTTTATCTGCAGCAAAGCTGAGCACCTACTCAGATGAGGTATGTCGTGGGAACCAGCTCTGTAGCGGAGCAGATGGCAGTGCTCACAAAATGTATTTCCAGCTCCACATACCGTAAACCAGACCGTCCAGGAAAACACTATTGACATAGATACCAAACAAAGCACCAACCGGAAACTGATAAAAACGCTAACGATTGGCGGCAACAAAGCAAAAATTCTCTTTATTCATTGCAAAACACATGTCTGCAGTGTCCCACCCTGCTGGCATGAAGCAAACACACATCCTCACTTCCCCCCCTCCCCGGGAAAGGAAAGGAGGCAGCCCACTGTTTGCACGTTTGACCTTGCAGACCAGGGCCCCTTCATGTGCACAATAATTCAGCTTTAGAAAATTGATCAAATATGTATTAAATTGCATTTAATTTATATCTGCCTCCTTTCATAAGCTCCCTGGAAGCAGAGACTGGGTATAGATACTCTATTTTGTAGAACTTGACTATCTCTAATAATATTAGACTTTTCCAGAACTGGACCGGCAGACCCCCAACATCCACAAGGCTTTGAGTTTCCTCTCTGAAACAGCTGTGCCTGGATTGCCAGCGGGACATCCCATCAACGTCCCCAATGATGAGATGCCAGGAGCCCGAGAACACCCCGCTGCCGCCGTCCTAATCCCCCTTCCCTTGACTGCCCTGCTGAGGCTGGCAGATTATCTTCACGGGGGTACAGCTCTTCCGTTTCACAATCAGATGGAAGATGCAGACCACACACACCCCAGGAGCCCAAGACAAGGGCCAGAATTCACCAAGACCTGGTGTAGGGACCAGGCTTTGTTCCAAGGTTGTAGGTAAGACTACAGTGTTTCCGGGAAGGAACCTCCAGCCACTCAAATTCAGTTATCAAATGTTTATTAAGTTTGTTATGTATTTGCCAACTTCACACCAGACATTGCTCTAGGCATCTGGGTACCAAACCATACCAAACCCACTGCCATCCAATAAATTCCGTCACACAGGTACCCTATTAGACAGAGTGGAACTGCCCCATAGGGTCTCCAAGGCTGTCATCTTTACAAAAGCAGACTGCCTCATCTTTCTCCCAGAATGTGTCTGGTGGGCTTGAACCGCTGACCTTCTGGTTAGCAGCTGAGTGCTTTAACCACTGTCCTATCAGAGCTCTTTACCTGGGATAGAGCAGTGGATGAAAGCAACAAAACAAACCCTAACTTCTTGAGTTTCTCTTCTGGTGGGGAGGCAAGCAGTCATGAATACCAATGGCAGCAACCACACCTAAATAGCTATGTAAGTTATCCATGCTAGGGAGACAAGTGAAGCCCTGTGACTGTGGTCTTGTGATCCAACTAGACACTGGGGAACATGGGCAGAGAGAGGGAAGTCAGACAGAGAGATGATGGCTGTGTGGACCAGGTACATGGTGGAGGCAGTAAGACCTGGTTGGATTCTGGATGTAATCTGATTTTCTGAGGGTGTAAGTCACTGAACTAAGTGTTAAGATAATGGAACGAATAAGCCATAGTCTTCTACACTCTTTTGCAAAGGGGCACACAGACATGTTATCAACAAAACCTAATTCAATGTGATAAGTGGAATACAAGAGACCTTGATGAAGTGCTGGGCAAGCACACAGCAGAATGCAGTGTCCCAGGAATTCGAGGAGGGCTTACACGGCTGGGCCTTAGAGGATCAATAGGAGTTTGTTAGTTGAGGAAGGGAAAGAAAGGCATTTTCAGAACAGAGAACAGCATGGACAGGGTCATGGAGGCAGGAGGGTGCAGAACGCTCTTGGTGGAATTTGAGGAGGCTGGTCAACGATTTATAAGGCAATGAACAGCTGGAGAGAAGCACAAAGACTCATCACTAAGATGCATTTTAAGTGTCAGACTTATTCTACAGGCTACAGATTATCCAACGTTGGTGCAAACTCTAGGGCTTCCCAGGTTTCAGAAAGTCTGGGATGGGGCCCTCAACAGTGGATTTTTATGGTCCAGGGGGTTCTGATGCAGGTGAGCCCTGAGCCAGTGTGAGGATCGCCATTTGTAATCGAGCCATGAAATGTTTCGTCACAGGTTGGGATGGGAGCTGAAGTGTGTTTTAGAAATGTTTGCTCAGGGTAGAGTCTAGAGACTGGAGCAAAGAAACCAGCAGGGCTTGTTGAAATAGTCCTGGTCAGAAGCAATAATTAGGATGGTGGCTGAAGGAATGAGAGGAGAAAATGGGTTCCAGAGACATTCAGGGAAGCAGCTCAGGCCTGCAGGGCGGGGAGGTGAGGGAGAGACGGAGATTTCTGTGTAATGAGGCTGTGGAGATAAACGACTGATGCTTGAGACGGAGACCACGGGGTGGGGGTGAGGAGCAGTGGTGGGGAGCTTGGGCTGGGGAGCATGGAGTGTGAAGTGCGGACAGAACTCTTTTTATTGTGTTTCACTTTGTTGCACCTTGCAGACACTGCATTTTTTTTACAAATAGAAGGCCGTGGCAACCCTGCTTCAAGCAAGTGTACCGTCGCCATTTTTCCAACGGCATGTGCTCACTTCACGTCTCTGTGTCACACTTGGGTCAGTCTCACAATATTTCAAACTTTTTCATAATGCTGTTGCACTTTTATTGGACAGTGTTTCACTGCTAATCATAAGGTTGGCAGTGGCCAATTTTTTCCGAAGTGGATGGACCCGTCCTTCTTCCCAATCTGGCTTAGTCTGGAAGCTCTGCTGAAAACTGTCCACCATGGATGACCCTGCTGGTATCTGAAATACTGGTGGCATAGCTTCCAGCCTCGGAGCCACATGCAAGCCACCACAGTATGACAAACCGACAGATGAGCGGAAGTGACAGCCTCTTAATTGACTCATATGCATATGAAAGCTGGACAATGAAGAAGGAAGACCAAAGAATTTGTGTCTTTTAATTGTGGTGTTGGTGAAGGGTACTGAAAGTTCCATGGACTGCCAGAAGAATGACCAAATCTGTCCTGGGAGGAGTGCAGCCAGAATGCTCCTTGGAAGCGAGGATGGCCAGACTTCATCTCACCTACTTTGGTCATGTTGTCAGAAGGGACCATTTCCTGGAGAAGGATGTCATGCTTGAAAAAGTGGAGGGTCAGCCAAAAAGGGCAAGATCCTTGACAAGATGGATTGACCCAGTGGCTGCAGCGACGGGCTCACGTTCAGCAAGGATTGTGAGGCTGGCGCACGACTGGGCAGCAATTTGTTCTGTTGCACATCGGGTTGCTGTGAGTTGGAGCCAACTCAGTGGCACCTAACAACAACACTACACTCTTCACAGATTACCCAAAACCCATTGCGGTGAAGCCAATTCCAACCCACAGCGCCCCTAGAGGACACAGTAGAAGTTCCCATGGGGTTTCCAAGGCTGTCCTCTTTAATGAAGCAAACCGCCTCATCTTTCTCCCACAGAGCAGCTGGTGGGTTTGAATTGCAGACATTTGAGTTAGCAGCCTGATGCTGTATCCACAGTACCACCAAAGCTCCATGAATACACTACAGTACAGTGTAAACATAACTTTTATATGCACTGGGAAACCACAAAACTCATGTGACTCGCTTTATTAAGATATTTACTTTATTGCAGGGGTCTGGACCAAAACCCACAATATCTCTGAGGTCTGCCTGTATTTGAAGAACATCAGTAAAGGCACCAATAAAGGCAGGTGTGCACATCACTGTATTCCTTGCTCTCAAGTGCCTAACTTAGTTAGTGAGTTAGTTGTTAAGAGTGTACACAGAAAACACACCCATTGAACAGTTTCCGCAGGTACATTTCAGTGACATTATTGCCTTCCACGAATTATGCAACCTTTCTCCCCTCCTTTTCTCTGTATTCCTCCCCCATTAACATAAACTCACTGCCCCTTAAGGTTCCTATCTAATCTTCAGACTTGCTGTTGTCATTTTGATTCTATAGTTCTTAACAGAGCGTAATGCTCAAAGCAGCATCATTTTTTACTAGGTAAGCTAACCAAAAGGTTGGTGGTTTGAACCTGTTAGTGGCTCCATGGCAGAAAGGTCTGACAGTCTGATTCTGTAAAGATTACAGCCTTGGAAACCCTATAAAAGCCAAAAACCAAACTCACTGCTGTCGAGTCAGATCCAACTCATAGCGACCCCTCCTTGGGTTTCCCAGGCAGTATCACTACAGAAGTAGATTGCCC